AGAAGGAGCCGAGCCCAGATGATTGCATGTCTTCAGGTGAGTCGATGGGGAGTGGCAGCGGCGGTGAGATCGATTGGGGGTCTCCCAGACTGGAGGCTGAGTTTGGAGGGGAGGCAGGATGGGGGGAGAGGACCGTTACCCCTGACCAGGCAGGATGGGCAGCTAGAATGGAGCTACCATCAATCCCTGCATAGAGACAGCAACCAGACTGACCGAATAATATACATGTCCAACATCAGACCCAGAAGGGGCCATGGGATATGAAGGTCAGGAACAAGGCCCGGGACTTCAAGGGAATGTACAATGGAGAACTGCACTGGAATAGGTATTGGACTTCCCATATGTCCCCGAAAATCTTATGGACATAATCGAGACCTCCCGCTCCCATTGGGAAGAGGAAATAATTTGGGACTATTTGCATGTTCCTCTGATATGCTGGCCCAGTTCCAGGATATTCAGCTGAAATGAAGCTGAGGAAGGGCCATGTACTAGGACCAAGCAGTCATTGTTAAGGCTGGCCAGCCCAGCAAGAACTACTCTGTGGCTAAGCATGATCCCAATGGAGTGGTCACAAGATCACCTAACCCTCTCTTCCTCTTTCCTCTTTCTACCTGGTCTGATTTAAGGGGGAGATTTGGTGGTGAGGCCCAGGACATTACTAAAGAGACTGATGCTATGGAGGGGCTCCTTCTTCAGAGACTCTCATGTAAAAAGTTCTGTTAGTAGGATCATAACCCCCTACTAGCAGACTGTATAAGTAGTTTAGCTAGTGTGAGGGTTGTGTATCTTTTTCCCTTGCAGGTTCCTCATGGACCGCTGTCCTTCTGTTGGGGACTTTGTGACCTTTTTGCTAATATTTTAATATTTTCTACAGTTTCCTGGAGGGCTTCCCTTAAGGGGGAGGTGCTCCATCTAAAAAAAAAAATAAATAAAAATGTGTGTATAGTTTGCATATTTATAGTATGTAGATTTGTATACATATGTTTTGCTCTAATAAATTTACTAGCTGCATATATATATTGCCTTATAGTATGCTAACTATGTTGACTTATAGTATACAGTAATTATTAGCTGCAGAGAGCTGCAAGAAGGATGTATATATGTTACTGGTTTAATAACATGCTGGCTACAGGGACCGGTAGTCAGAATGTATATATATGCCTTATTTAAATTTTGAGAACAAAGTGTATATATATTCTTGTGTATATCTATATATTTGATATTGAATATTTATTTGTACATATCCCCTTCCAAGTTTGTACCCTTCTCCCCTCCTTTTTTCTTATGGGATGCCATTGCTCTTGGGCTCAGAAGTTATTCTTGTATTTATTCTTCCAGCCAATGGGGACATAGCTGTTTTTAGAGGGGTTGAGTGTAGCACCCTCTTGTGTGCTATTAGAATAGTGTAGTGTATTGCAGGTAAAATCATTGTGTATAACTTATGGTACCTGTGTGAGTCTGTGATTGAGGTCAGGTTATTGCAGGTCAGCTGGATAACTTAACAGGTTGTGGCTTTATCGCCTCCTCCTAACTCTGGGGGACCATGGAATCTTCCTGAAGTCGGTAAGCAGGAAGGGGTGGAGACCTAATCTGCATGTTTATGAGAGTCTGGCCAATCCCAGATTTAGAGGCGCTGGTAGAGTGTTGGACTGGTCTGTAAATATGGGGGAGTCAGGCTGACAGAGGAGTTGCACAAAAGTGCTGAGGAAACTGTCGGTGCCTGGGAGGGGTTCTCTAGGTTTGAGGCGGGCTTGGCCTCCAGGCTGGGCTAGGGCGAACTCAGAAGGATACGTTCAGAAGTGCAGCAAGAATGTGATTGAGACCTGGAGCAGTGGGAGCAAGAGCCCAGAGTGAGTACCTCAGCACACCCTGGGATCCACAAGGGGAAAGACTGCCACATGTAGCAAGCTTTCAAAGGACAGCGCTGGGCTCAATCCTTTATTCTTGTCCCAGGAGATCTTCAGAGCAGCCAGGGGAGCTGGTAGTGTCTACAGTCTGTGGAGCTGGGAGCATTTCCACAGGGGGAGAGGAGACATCTCTGCATGTAGTTACAAGAAGCTAAGCTGATTTTTGAGGGGCTGCTAGTTCCTCGCCCATAAAGAGCTGTTACTACTGATCCACAAAGACTGATGGCTATCAAAGAAAAGAACAGTCCAGGATCTGTTTTTGTACTTAGGAAGAAAGTTCTCCCCCTTCATTAATTCAAGCCAAACTGGACATCCGATAATTCCTTTTTCTGTATCCAAGTTATTTCCCCTAATAAAATAACAAAACCAAGCTTACAGACTGGTTACTGTTTTCTGAATGCAAATCTGTGTGAAAGATTCCTGTTGCCTGGCGGTGCGGAGCTTAGGGGAACCCACAACACAGTGGCCCTCATGAGGGTAGCGATATATATATATATATATATATATATATAAACACTGTGTAACATTTATATTTATGTAGGACTGATTATTTTCGGTATTCACCTCCTTCTCAAAATCCTTGCAGCCTGGATGTCCATTGTTTTGGGCCTATTTACACTGTGCGACGACTGGTGTTTTTTCTGGACCTGATCAACACCAGTCACTGCAAGGGCTCACAGAAAACAATTGTTTGCTATATGCCCTGTTCACACCACAATGCAACATAGAAAATTGCAGATATGCTGAATTTTTATGCAGTGCTTGGAATAGAACTATAGGTCACTGCAGCAAATATGCTGCTGTGCAGAGACCATGAATAAAGCGTTCATTTTTCACACTTCAATAAATGTTAAAAAAAAAAATGCTCTGCGCCAGCCTTTCCCACCTGTTGCAATGGACACCAGCCGTGCATTAAAATTGAACATTTAAGAGTGTGACTAGTTTGAACGGCCCTAATAATTTTTAAATATGCTAACTAGAAAGGGATTGAATAGTGAGGTAGGTATGTCCCCAAGAACAAGCGAATGTTAGATCTTACATTATTTGCCTTGATCATGGATTTTCAGGACCTGGCACATTTTATCTTTACATAAAGGGTTTGTCTTTTGAATAAAGATGTAATGCAAAGATCCTGCACACAGCTATAAGCTCTAATGCTTTATTAAATACAAAAAAAACAGTTCACACAAGACAGTCTGCTAACATATCTTAGCCGCATATAACCCTAATCATAGCTGTGATGAAGGCCATATGTGGCTGAAAAGTGTTAGCAGACTGTCTTTTGTGAAGAACTGTTTTTGTATTTAATAAAGCATTAGAGCGTATAGCTGTGTGCAGGATCTTTGCATTAGTTTTCAGTGAATGAGGGCAGACAGAAGCCACTGCTGTGCAGCAGCATTTCCTTGACTGATACAGATGGCTAAGGTTGAGTGGGTATACATTTTTCTATTTTTATGTTTGAATGTAGCACATGGGGATAAATGGTATTTATTGAGAAAAATGTGGATAGTATGGTTGGCTTGTACCTGTCTCATCTAGAACCTCAGTTTAGCACTCTTGAATTGCATTGTATTGCTCAGCTTAAGGAAGAAGTGTTGATTCTGATACTGACAAGTTACTGGGCATAGGCCTAAGGAAAAATACTTTGGCTCAGAGCAGTACAATCCTCTTGCCCTGGATAGCAGCCTAGAGTGTCAAAGGTAACAGAAGTTCTGACATTTTCCCTTTAAGTTACTCCATTATGCTTTTAATAAACTCTCGTAAAAGTTTAAATTAGGTTCTAATTATAACCTTGCTCCATAATGTGCATGTTCAAGTTTTTCTGTTAAGTGCTGCAAGAGATTACTTTGATAAATAGTAAGAAACATTATGTTCCTTTCCCTTAGAATGTCTTTATCAATGTGAAATACTGAACTCTTGGGTCATATTATAGGATTAAGATAAATCAGCGACAATCATCCTACGGTTACTGTCCTTCATCGTTTGCTATCTCTGGAGGCAACTTAGGGTAGACAGATAGCCATTACTTAGCAATAAAGAGCACCTGTAATAAATCTTAGCACATTTTCCATTGTGATTGGAAAGATCTAGCTAAAGAAAGGCAATTAGGATTTTAGTAGATCTGTATTTGATATCCAACTTGCAGCTCTGTGATTTTTGTATCAATCAATTTTTATGTATCTTGAATTGTTTTGTTTTATTGTTTTCACAGTAAGCTGCCCAAAGGGTACATTTTATTCCCTTGAACATAACATGTGTGAAAGTTGCTGGATTGGCTCATACCAGGATGAAGAGGGCCAAATGGACTGTAAAAGCTGCCCTGTCGGCACTTACACTGAATATCTCCACTCAAAGCGCATATCTGAATGTAAAGGTGTGTAAAATAGAATGTAATTTAATAGTTATTAACTGTGGGCAGAGTCATAACCATAATAGTAACAAGACAGTAAAGTTGATGTTTAATATTATTTTATGTTTTTTTTTTAATTGAAGAATGTAATGCAACCCTTTAAATAGAATATTTAACCTTTTCTCTACCCCATCCCCAGTAGAAATGTCAATGTGTCTGTTTATTTCCAATCTCACCCTCTGCACGCTCCTGGTTGTTTCTCACTTACAGGGAGTCTGTTAAACAATAAATGCATATTATTGGTAATACTGGAAGCAGTACAGACATGAAGGAAGTATTCTCCCAGTGACCATTTGCTCCCTAGGTTTTGTCTACAGTTGATGAGGAGATTAAGGGAAACTGAGTGAGCCTTTTTTATGTTAGCATTGTTGTAGCGTTTTCTGGATTCTGAAGCTGGAAGACAGTATGTGTGTGTCATTAGTACAAAGCAGGCAGTTGACAAAGTAGAAAACGTAATGTCAATGGGATTCTCCACTCCAGAATTTTTCTTAGACAAATACCTAAAGAGAAATAAGAGGCAAATGCAAATTCTTCAAGACTCTTCAATAGGCCTAGCTGTGAATAGTTAAGGTTCAGACATCTGTGCCTAATTTTAAATCTAAGTTAACTAATCTATGTGTTGATTTAGGGCTTTCTTTCTCAAAAAATAGGTGCAGGAACTCAACCATGAGCACCCCCCCAACCAGGGGCAGACTGACAACTCATGGGGCCCCCGGGCAATGGGGGATCATGGGATCCCTGTGTCCTTGCCCAAACTCAAAAAAGCCTATGAAAAAGGTACCAGGGGCATCTCATGGGGCCCCCTACTGACCCTGGGCCCTCGGGCAGTGCCCGAGTTTCCAAATGGTCAGTCCGACCCTGCCCCCAACCCCCCTCCTCCCCTCACACATAAAAGCTCCATAAAATAGTGGGTGTGGTTAAATGTCACTAATAGTGGGACATTAAATGCCAGGAGTGCATAGTTCAGAAGTGTACTGCATACAAAGTGAAGAGTTCAGGGGTGCACTACACACATTGCATATTACAGTCTTCTTCCACGGCTGCTTACCTCTGCATCCCCCATCCACATCTCACTTTCACTCCTCATCAGCTCTGACCTCTGCGTGCAACCCCCCCCCCCCCCACTGCCCCCTTCTACTCCCCCCTCCTTAAAAGCACCACCATCTACTGCAACTCTGGAAAATTGGTTGTTGATAGTGATGATACATACAGATGTCTAACAGCAGCAACAGACACTAAATTCAAGGGAACATACCTTAAGCTGGAATCACTCTTGTACATTTGTAAAATTCATTAATACCCATGTTACCACAATGCACATTCACGTGCATTATGAGCATTATGGTCCATATATATTCACTCAGAATGGGACCCATAGTCCTAGAGACACTCAGTAGGTATAAAAGCACCTTCTCTATGGTTGCCAGATGTAAACACTCTATGCCTTGTTGTGCCTAGTGTTACCAAAAAGTAATTCATTTTTTCATGCGAAGAGGCTTGTTAAAAGACCATTTAAGGTGAACCTATAATGTGCATAAAGTGGAGCATACCATAAAGCATATTCCTCCTGGCATTTTCACCTTGACAAGAAAGCTGGGAATCTTGATAGTGAAGAAATATTGGTATGAAGCTGGTATTTGCTCATTGCGGCCCGTGAGATTGGGATATCAGGGCACACTGCAAGGTGTTTGAAGCTACACATTGTAACTGGAGGACACTGTAGGTGCTTGATCATGAACCTTGCTAGTTTACTAGGTTTAAAGTGAGCATAGGTTTACTTTATTGAACCAGTTTTCATTTCATTGTGCGTATGGATAATTAAACTAATTGTGCTAAGTGTCAGTGCATGAAATAAACAGATGAGACTGTGCTGTGCCTTAAATTAAAATTGATTGTATTCTAAATTAGTCATACCAGTAGTGACATGATATGAGAAGGTTTAAGCTTTAATGTGGCTGATGTTTTAAAACTTTAAGAATTCCATGTGTGAGCTGGATAAAAATATGCTTTGTATTTTTGGACTGATCAATGAGACACTGGGGATGATCTACTAAACCAGTATAAAAGTTCACTTAGCAATTAAAGTTAAGATGTGTTTTTTTAAATACCCAATTATGTGCAAAAGAATTTGGCTTTACACTTGGATGATTGAAATGAACACAGCTTCACTTTTTTTAACAAGTCAAGTGAATAACTACCTTTCTAAGCAAAACATTATCTACCTCTTTAGTAAATAATTTTACTGTATTATAGGTATTAGGGACCAGGTTTTAATTTGCTGTATGATGAGTTTGCAGTGAATCCAGGATGTATGTGGTTAAGGTGAGTATATGTAGAAACCAGACCCACGGGGGTTGATTTACTAAAACTAGAGAGTGCATCAAAATCTTCCAGGTTTTTTCTTTCAAAGCTTAATTGAACAAGCGCAACTGCACCAGCTCTCTAGTTTCAGTAAATGACCCCCATAATGTCTTGCCTAATTTTTCAACTGTGGTCAGTCGGGTTATAATGGAGAGTAATGGGGCTTGGCTATATGCCAGCCAGGGGGTGACTACAGTTCATAGGACCCCATAACAACCTCCCTACCAGGGGGCGGACTGACCATTTGGAAACTCGGGCACTGCCCGAGGGCCATGGGTCAGTAGGGGGCCCCATGAGATGCCCCTGGTACCTTTTTCATAGGCTTTTTTGAGTTTGGGCAAGGACACAGGGGCCCATGATCCCCTATAGCCCGGGGGCCCCATGAGTTGTCAGTCCGCCCCTGCTCCCTACTGTCATTGATCGTAACATAACATATTTCTAAATCATAGTCATGTAGCAAAAGAACTATCAGCATAGTCAATACATTACTAGGGACTAGTGCTGTAGAAAGAAGTTGTAAATTCTAAGCTTTTCAACCCCTTTCACCACCACAGCAAGCACATTCTGAAAGAGGTGGTGTAGTAGCCAATACAAAGAAAAAAGAAACAATAGTAATAGTGGCACAGAGCAGTAGTAGTAAGAATGCCCATTGTAGTATTTTATTTTATGACAAAATTGTTAGAATTTCCGTGCATAACTACTCTATAACCTCTATAACCTTAATACAAATGACAAACAGCTGCTAGATTTTAGCTGAGGAGAATCTCTGAGAGTAACCACAAGCTCTGCAATCCTTAAAATTATAGTGATGGATATGTAAAATGCCTCACCACCCCCATAATGGGGCCCATTCCAGGCCCTTTAGTATCCATGTTGGCTGCTATGAAGGGGGTTCCCATGTGTCAGTGAGTGCTGAAGTAGTTTAAGGAATTTTGTTTTATTGTCAACTTTTTCTTTACCTTTGCATTTTATCAGTTTTTTTCTTCCTAGGTAAAAGATAATAGATTGAGGTTTATTGTTTCAAGGTTTATTATTTGGGGAGATGTATTTTTTACTTCTAGTTGCTTTTTTATTATGGGGTGTACCACATATTAGTCCTCCTTATTGCCATAACTACAATTAAATTTAGATGATCCTCTTTGCTTAAAAAAAGAGATGCAGAGGTTCTGCATCCAGTGGTAGTAAGGGGTGAGCAGATTCTGCAGCATAAATTGATGTTTGGGCCACAAATAGAGTAGCAGTACAATACAGCCACATGCAGGTAGTGTGGTGGTGAAAAAAGCATTCCACTTCCTCGTCCTGCCAGATGCAGAGCAGCCAGCTGTCTACAGTTGCTTCTAATGATCCCTGCTATTTTTCTGCTAATCCCTCCATAGCCCCACAAACTGGCTATGGGAGTCGGTGAAATTATTTGATCACACAATCATTGACTTGGAAGATGAACTTGGTCATGTGCATGCATTCCCCTTTGTAGATAGTAAGGACAAGGAATATAACTATACAGGGAGAAGAGGGTTCACACGACACAGCAATCAAAGGACACCAGGCAGAGAACAGCATGGGGTATTGATCTTCCAGCAGCTACGGCTTACTGCAAACTGGAGTCCAGCGATGAGGAGGAGGTGGATGATGAAGTGGCAAACCATGGATGCCACTGATCAGAGAGCAGGACCGTTTTCAGGGAGAGGAAGAATACCAACATAGAAGACTTTTTTCCAGGGGCAGGGACAGCTTGCAGAGAAGCTTTCAGAGAACACTCCAATGCCCAGTGTCCTAATGCCAGCTCGGCAAACTGCTGGCTTTGCAACTTGCTCCCATTCCAGTTTGTGTTACTCCCTTCCAAGTTTACTGCCTCTGCTAAATCACAGTGGTAGGTATCCTGTGTGGAACGCACTATATTTGTGTCACTGTACCATGCTGCCAGTGCAAGAGTACACTCAACCACAAGCACAAGGTCTAGTAAGCATGGGGAGGCAGGCCACATATCCTATATGGCTGACTGGGTTAATCTTCTGGTGGCTGGAAAGGATACAGGGCTGGCACACCAATAGAGCTGGTGGTACCGCTACCTGTCCTGTCCGATAGTGACAGTACAGTCACTTGTACTCCTTCCTCTTAACTGGCCTCATTATCTATCTCTTTTTTAACCAGCAGTTCCCCTGTAAGTACCCCAGAGCATATGCAAGATCCCAGGCTAAATGCTGCCATGTTGTGTTCGTCCTTGTATACCTTGGAACAGGAGTGATTTTGGAGAATGTGGGTTGTTTTTCTAAAGTGTTTGTGTGAACTAAACTTTTAGAACAGTGCAGTGTGGTACTACAAAAAAAGCTTACAAACTACTCTAGTAAACTGTGGTGCCACTGCCTAATTTGTATGAAGTTGAGATCTTTAGCTTTTTATTTTAAGAGGAAAACTTTCCTATAGTTTTTAGATCTGTTGCTATTATTTTTACTAGTCAATTCAGGTCTATTACAGCTTAATACAAAATCTGTTGTGACAGCCCATACTACCGAAAAAAAGTCTTTTTTCAAGTTGAAATTAATCAAATTAGTGTGATGATGTTGTATTTAAGCCAAGATAAATGTAAACATTAAAAAAATTACACATTGATATGCGATGCCAGACTATAGTGTTGTAATGGTCATTTTAGAGTTATCTCTTACATTTTTTAATTCCAGCTGTTAGTCTGGCTCAACACAGCTTTTTTATTTGAATGTAGTCAATAAAATAAAAAAGAAAGAACATCACACTAAGCAGCAAAAGGTTTATTTAATCAATAGTTTACTAAGTACAGTTTATGTAAACACATACATTTACTTTTATTTAACATGTACTTTATTTAGCTCAGTGCAAGCCAGGCACTTACTCATCAAATGGTCTGGAGACCTGTGAGTCTTGTCCACATGGCACATACCAGTCAGTGATGGGATCCAAGTTCTGCCTCTCCTGTCCAAAAGGAATGTCAACAGTTAAAAGGGGATCTGTGGATGTCTCGGAGTGTGGAGGTACAATGAGAAATAATGTGTAATAATTCAATAAGACATAAAAACCTTATTCGTACTAAAAAGTACATATACAGTAAATTGTTAATGTAATTCTGTTATCCTAAAAGTTATTCAACATCTTCTTCTGAGTGCTGGTCTTCGAGCACCTTTATTGGCTGGCGGGCGATAGCCTCACTGTGTATGTGCAATAGCTAGTCATCCCAGCACTCAGAGATCAACCCAGCAGTATAAGCTGAGCTGCAAATGCGCAAATCAGTTCACAGCATTGGAGAAAACAGCTTGCTGTTTCTTACAGCGAAACTTCAGTTCTGCTTTAAATCAGCAGCTTTTGTTAAAGAAGAATTCCAGCTATGGATACTTTATATATATTTAGATTGGTTTAGCATGGACCAACTGTGTATGTACCTTATCTGGTCAATCCCACTGGAGTTGGAAATCACTGTAATAGACATGGCTATTCCCGTGATTTCCACTAGCTTCTGGGTCCCATGACGAG